GGGATTTTTATCGAAGCAGTTATTGATGGCTATAGGGTTAAACTACTTGTAGATACTGGTGCGACCCTCAGTATTATTTCACCAGACATACTACATTCTGTTCTTAAGGATCAGCACCCAAGACTTAATGAGGTGAGCAAGCCCATCCTACTGGCTGATTGTACTGCCATGAAAGTGGAAGGGTCTCTTTCAATTTCTTTTACAATAGCGGACTCAACGTTTAGCCAAACATTTGCTGTAGCCGACACTGGTGTTGACGGTATACTTGGGCTTGATTTTATGACGAACAATGATTGCTTGATTGATTTGACAAACTCTTGTATGATTATTAAGGGCAAGCGTGAAAAATTAGTTTTTGAGGGCAAGATAGGTTGTTGTAGGATAACCTTAGCTGAGAATGTCAATGTTCCGCCTTACAGTGAAATTATTACCATTGGGAATGTCATACCTCCTGTCTTTGAGAAGATACCACAATTTGGTATCGTAGAGTCGTCTGATCGTTTCTTAGAATCTGATAGAAGTTTAGTGGCCAGAACTTTAGTAGAAGGCAATAAAGTAGCGCCCGTTAGATTGATGAATCCTTCTGCAGAAACACAAACCTTATATAAAGGAACTTTTGTAGCTACTTTGTCTGACATTGACAACGTCTATGATAAGACCAGTTACTTACAAGACAATAAGAGAAAATTGCCTGACCATCTTAAGGATTTGTACGCAAGGTCAGTTACAGGATTGACAGCAGATAATGCCAAGGCTGTTAAAAACATGCTTTTGAAGTATTCACACCTGTTTGCGGCCTCAGATGCTGATTTAGGTCAAACAAAAGTTACCGAGCATACCATTAATACTGGAACAGCCACACCAATTAAACAGCCTCCAAGGCGCATGCCCGTTCATATGCAAGAGGAAACGGACCGCCACGTTGATGATATGCTGAAAAGGGAAATAATTGAGGAATGTACAAGTCCATGGTCATCCCCAGTCGTGCTAGTAAAGAAGAAGGATGGGAGCACAAGGTTTTGCGTCGACTATAGGAAGTTAAATAATGTTACCATTAAAGATGCATACCCACTTCCAAGAATCGATGACTCCCTTGATCAGCTGTCAGGAAAGAAATATTTTTCAACCTTAGATCTTAATGCCGGGTATTGGCAGGTTGAAGTGGCTTCCCATGACAGAGAAAAGACAGCGTTTGCAACCAGAAAGGGCCTATACAACTTCAAAGTCATGCCATTTGGGCTTTGCAACGCCCCGGCGACCTTTGAGCGATTGATGGAAACGGTCTTGAGAGGTCTGCAATGGCAAATTTGCCTTGTATACCTTGATGATATCATTGTAGTTGGCGAAACTGTAGATGATATGATCAAAAATCTTACTCAAGTGTTCGACCGTTTAATAGCAGCTGGCCTTAAGTTGAAAGCCAGAAAATGCACATTGTTTGCGTCAGAGGTTGAATATTTGGGACATATTGTGTCTCAAAAGGGGATATCAACAAGTCCAAATAAAATAAAGGTTGTGCAAGAATGGGAAGTTCCCTCCAATGTATCAGAGCTCAGGTCATTCCTCGGGTTCTGTAGCTACTACAGACGTTTTGTAGCAAACTTTGCAACAATAGCTAAGCCACTTCATGACCTAACAAAGAAAGGAGCTCATTTTATTTGGAGTGACAAATGCCAGGAAGCATTTGATCTACTTCGCAAAGAATTGTCAACATCACCAGTCCTGGCCCATCCAGATTTCAGTGAAAGGTTTATTTTGGACACTGATGCCAGCAGTTTTGCTATCGGTGCAGTGTTGTCTCAGATACAAGACGGTATTGAGCGGCCTATTGCTTTTGCAAGCAGGAGTCTGACAAAATCTGAAAAGAAATATTGTGTTACCAGGAAAGAATTATTGGCAGCCGTTCATTTTGTGAAATACTTCCGGCATTACTTGTATGGTCGTCAATTTACGTTACGTACAGATCATAGCTCACTGAGGTGGCTAATAAACTTTAAAGATCCTGAGGGACAGCTTGCCCGATGGATGGATGTTCTCTCTACATATGACTTTACCATTGAACATCGACCGGGAAGATTGCATGGCAATGCGGACAGCCTTAGTCGAGCACCTTGTAAACAATGTAAGGCTGAGCATTGTGTTACTGACCACATGAGTATCTGTAGTGCCAAAGTGGATGAACAGTTGTTTCAGCAGAAGCCTTTAAAATGTCTACAGGATGATGACAAAGACATATCAAAAGTAAAAGCTTGGTTAACACTCAAAAATAGGCCAAGCAAAGATGTCGTGTCATCAGAGTCGGTCACTGTGAAGTCTCTTTGTTCCCAGTGGGACAGGCTTGTCATAAATGATGAAGTTCTCTGCAGGAAATGGACGGATTTGACTACGATGCAAGATATCCTACAAGCCATTGTTCCCAGTAGTGAAAGGAGAACCGTGTTAAAGCACTACCATTACTGTAGATCTGCAGGCCATCTTGGTATTCACAAAACACTTGCCCGAATTCGACAGTCTTATTATTGGCCTGGTCTGCAAAGAGACGTACATTCCTACATTGCTGGTTGTGAAGTATGTACTAGACGGAAAGCACCAATCCCAAGCAACAAGGCTCCAATGAAGTTGGTGTATTCTGGCTATCCATTCGAAAGAATAGCCACTGACCTTCTTGGAGAGCTCCCTGTGACTGCCAATGGTAATCGATATATCCTAGTAGTTTCAGACTACTTCACAAAGTGGACTGAATGTTTTGCAATACCTAATATGGAAGCGTCCACAGTAGCAGCAAAGATTGTTGAGGAGGTTATCACAAGATTTGGAGTACCAGCTGTGGTTCATTCAGACCAAGGACCACAATATGAAAGTACTCTCTTCAAGGAAATGTGTAAATTACTGGACATCCAGAAAACGCATACCACCCCGTACCATCCCCAGTCAGACGGGATGGTTGAGCGTTTTAACAGAACGCTCACAACAATGCTCAGTGCGTTTGTAAATGATCATCATAATGACTGGGATGTGCACTTACCTTTCATTATGATGGCCTACCGCAGTTCAGTACACGAAACTACTGGTATGACACCGAACATGATGATGTTTGGAAGGGAGGTTGGTACACCATTGGATCTCCAATATGAGATACCACCTCAAATAAAAGATACGCCAAGCAATAAATGGGTATGGGAGTTGCAGGAACGTCTGGAGAAGGCTCACTCCTTTGTTAGGACCAAAATGAATCAGTCAATGGTGAGACAAAAGCACTATCATGACCGCAAGTTGATGTGGAAAAAGTTTGAACCTAACGATGAGGTGTATGTTTATTTCCCAAGAAGAAAACCTGGAATATCGCCCAAGTTAACCAGTTTCTGGCAGGGTCCTTACAAGGTTAAGAAAAAGATGTCAGATTTGACATATCTTGTAAATTGTGGACCAAGGGGTTCAGACCAAGTCATTCATGTAGATAGAATGCGCAAAAAGCGCATGCAAGTTCTATCAGGCGAAAATGATAACATAGTGAATATTGAAACTGATGACTTAAGGGATGATTATGATGGTCAAGAAAACTGTGACTCAGATCATCATGCAAGTTTTGATAATATCCCCACCGCTATTAATCCAGAAAGCAATAGTCGTCCAAGTAGATCTCGTAGGCCACCCATCTGGTTACATGATTATGAGACTGACATGTAAGATAATTGATTCTACCAGAGTTGTACATAGTTTTAAATATAGTGGTTTAAAAAAAAAAAAAAAAGGGAATCTTTTGTACATATCTTTCGATTTGTTATCTGTTAAGAATCATTTAGTTTTTAAGTTGTACATGCGGGACGCATGTCATCGGAGGCATGGGTAGTGTGACAATTCCGGAATCTTGAGGTATGACCATACAGAGTTTTCAATTAGTCATTGTTAACATCACGTGACTTTGATTGTGTATATATACGGAGACTCCGCAGTCATCTGTTGTTGTTCTTCGGATGCAGCCAAGGAGAGAAGACGATAGACAGTGTTCAAAGACTGTGCATAGTAAATAAACTTTACTATTATTAATTCCTCGCCTGTTCATTCAGTTAGGGAGAGAATTTGGAAGGCCATTGAGGTTTACCAAACCAGTTGTAAGGCCTGCCACAGAGGTTAACCTCAAGCGAAGAGGCTAGCCATAAAGTTCGTCTGCATTGGCTGACCAGTCCGTCCAGGCCGCTATACTCATTGTCCGTCCTGAATAAGGCATCCTACAGTGAGTGTAGTGGTTGAAGGGCTATCACATATACTGTCCGTCCTGAGTAAGGCATCCTACAGTATATGCGGTAGTCCGAGGGCGACTGGGCTTTCGATTTAGTATTATTAGGTCTACCAAATAATTTGTTGTTACTTGCCTCCGATTCTTGTATTGATTCACCATTTGATTATTGTTAACCTAGATAAGGTTAGGACATATTTGTATATTTCGGCAGTCCTTTTTAATCATACCAATCAATTTTAAATCACTTTATGTTTTACACCCCAAACCCTGGAAATAACCAGGTACGATCCCATTGATTAATTGTAAATACGTTACAACACAAACAAACTTTTTTCAGAAATCAGCATTATTTCTCATAGATTTACATTTAAATTGACAACCTGAATAATGTTTACAAAGTAAAGTGGGAGAATTTTATAAGATTTTGTCATAAAGTTAAAAAATTGTGCAAAATTTTGTATGGAATTATATAGAAGGCAAAATAAAATCTCAAATCTAAGCACCAAGGAAAACCTACGATTTCTTTATATTTCAGGGATTTATTTTTATATCAATAAAAATCAAAATCGGTCAGAAAATATATATCAACCCGCGCATCCATTTTTTGTTTGTGGTAAGTACCCTTAATACATAATGCTAATTCATTACTATGCAGTAAACAAGCTTTCTGTATGAAACAAACACTTGTCCTATCAAATTCTACGTCATAGGTCAAACTCTTTTATGAAAAGTATTATTCAATTATTAATTGATTTTGCAGGTAATCTCGAAGGAATACGTGTGGATTCAAGCCTAAACTGTGAGACACACATTGAATATACATATTATGCTTCCAAAAAAGCCATTCCGGACCTATGCTGTATTTGCTGTAGACGACATGCAAGGAAAAGCCCAAAACTTTTGCGCGACTTTGAATTTGTGTTACCTGCCTGCCGCATTTGTGAAGTCATAGAAGACATTCCAAAACACAGTCCATGGAAAAAGTAAAGGAACACTGCACTTAACACAGGATTTTGGACCTTTTTCAATTGTTTCTGTTGCATTAGGGATCAGCATTATATTACCTGTATTATATATGTTCTAATATAAAGAATTCAATTGGTATGACACTAGTCTAAATATTATTTTCATATGCATAACTCAGATTTTTAATTTCATGCTGTGATAAAACATAATTACTTTCCCTATTGTCTGTGTTAAATTCTTTCTTCACACCATAATTTGCTATAAAATTCATATCTGAAAAAATATGCAGAGTTTCAAACCTCATACTATTTATATACCAGCACTTTCTAAAGAAAGTTCGGGTATATTGTTGTTACTCCTCCTCAAACTCCACCTACATTTTACACAGTAGTCTAATCGTCTTTTGGGAGATGGCAGGTGCAGGTATCATGTATAGATGTGTAGTTTTCAGAATATTCATTTTCCCTTATAATAAGTTTATGCCATAACTAAATCATGATCATTTGGAAGATTGGTTTTGTCCTGTGGATGCATGTGTAAAATAGATGGCAAATGGGGACAGGAAAAATTGGCCCCTCCCTAATCCATGGGGTCATGACTTGCACAAACTTGAATCTACATTTCTTTAGAATATGTCCATATTAATCATGCTCTTGTTCTTGAGAGAATATTTGAAGATTTTTTCCTTTTTATTCCTAGTTTAAACTTTGATCCCTTATTAAGGCCAGACCCTACTCTCGGAGGTCATGATTTGAAAAACTAAAAATATGTCCAAAAAGGCATGATGTCCGGCCAAATTTGTTAGTCTATGAAGTTTGATGAATATGTCAGGAAAGGTTTCTTTAAAAATCAAACTGAAATCTAAAAAAAATGAATATAGATGATAAATTCTCACCAAATTATGTATAAGTGCATGTTTACATAAAATAGGATTATCAACAAGAGGTCCATGGGCCACATCGCTTACCTGAGAAGCTTTGACCATTACGTTCTTTACCAGATTTCCCCCTTGTAATACATATTGTGACCGCACCCTACCTAACTGATCATAATTTAGACAATTTGAAATCTATGCTACCATAGGATGCTTTGATTCAACATTGTAAAATTTTGATTCCCCATTGTGGCTGCGCCCAACCCCTGGGGGTCATGATGAGAACAATTTAGAATCTACACTAATCTGGGATGCTTCCACTTTAGTTTCAACTTTTCTGGCACAGTGGTTCTTGAGAAGAAAATTTTCAAAGATTTTTCCTATATATTTCTATGTAAAATTTTGATTCCCCATTGTGGCCCCGCCCAACCCCCGGGGGTCATGATTTGAATAATTTAGAATTGACACTACCCAAGGATGCTTCCACACAAGTTTCAGCTTTTCCGGCCCCACTTGGTTCTTGAGTAGAAGATTTTCAAAGATTTTTCCTATATATTTCTATGTAAAACTTTGATTCCCCATTGTGGCCCCGCCCTACCCCCGGGGGTCATGTTTTGAACAATTTAGAATCTACACTACCTCAGGATGCTTTCACATAAGTTTCAGCTTTTCTGGCCCAGTGGTTCTTGAGTAGAAGATTTTCAAAGATTTTTCCCATATATTCCTATGTAAAACTTTGATTCCCCATTGTGGCCCCGCCCTATCCCTGGGGGTCATGATTTGAACAATTTAGAATCTACACTACCCCAGGATGCTTCCACATAAGTTGAAGATATTGATGGTAATTAAATACTTAAAGAATATGTGGTTGGGACTCCCACATCACTTCGATATATCCATGGTATTCGAGATATCAAAGTTCGAGGTACTAAAATTCAACTGTATAACAAGAGACCCATGGGCCACATCGCTCAACTGAGTAACATTCGTGATGCCATTCTTTATTGTGTCCTTGTCCCCCCCCCCCCGCCAGTCACAATTTCAACAATTTAGAATCTACACTACCACAGGATGCTTCCACATAAGTATCAGTTTTCTGGCCCAGTGGTTCTTCAGAAGAAGAATTTTTCCTATATATTTCTATGTAAAACTTTAATTCCCTGTTGAGGCCACGCCCAAACCCCGGGGTCATGATTTGAACAATTAAGAATCTACACTATACCAGGATGCTTCCACATATATAAGTTATATGTATGCATCTGCATATATAAGTTTAAGCTTTTCTGGCCTAGTGGTTCTTGAGAGGATTTTTTAATGATCCCACACTTATTTTGTCTTTTCTCGATCTCGATTATCTCCCCTTGTGAGGGGTCTTGGCCCTTCATTTTAACAATTCATACTCCCTGTAACGCTTCGGAACGCCTGCCTTGTGTTGAGAACAAAAACTTCGATGTAAAGTTTTATAATTTTATTCAGTAATTCATAAACAGCGAAAATAAATAACAGTTTGAAATTCACAAGTCTCAACCCTCGGGACAAAAGACAAAATCAGTACCACTAGTCCACTACTGATATAACTGGGCAATTGGCACTATTTCCAGTAATTTATGATTTAAATAGAAATTCCCCCGACCAAAATAAAACGTAAAGGCTCTCTATAAATGACTTATAATTAATTTACAAATAAATATTCCCGCTACTAGTTCAACTACTAGCACGCAGCAGAAATATTTCCTAACTCCTAAACTGGGCTAAAGAAGATAAAAATAACTAGTTCACAACTAGTAATTATAAATAAAACTAGTACAATTACTAGTAATATGAATTTAGCCTAACCTAACATTACGTATTATGTACTTCAGTCACTTAGATACACAGGAGTCGGCAATTTTATCAATAAATAGTAAATAAATGGTTAACAGGCATAAATACTACCAGTGAGCTTCGCGAGCGTAGCGAGCGAAGCGACAGGATGGCAACGAGTTTTCTCGATTTTCTCTAAATCGCCGTCCAGCCAACATCAAACTTCACATATCAACTTCGGAATGTCCAGTTAGTAATCCCTGACATTTTTTACCATTCAACTACCCTACATTATCATTATAACAACACTTCTTCACATCTCGTTTATAACCAGCGGCCATTGACAATTCTGCGTGACGTCACATTCACTGCAGATCGAAATACTCGGAACACGGATTATCGAAATGAAAAAGATCGAAGTATTCCGAGAAGATGGCGGAAAATATCGAAAACAGCATCGAAATGCAAGATCTTCGAGAAAAGGCGTACCATAATGCATTAGAGGGGCATAGTTTTATAATAACGGGCCAATGTGGAACCGGGAAAACTTACTTATTGAGGTAATTGAGTAATTACACACAATCTTTGAATATATATAGGGTTGTTTATTTTAAGTTTCTGTCGACATTTTCCCGCAAAATGTCAAACCACTGATATTGTACTTAATAGGTTTTGTTAAAACATTTTCCTGGGTTAATCAATATTATTTTTTTTTTGTAGTTTATTTTCTACAAATTGTTTTTTAAAAGAGTATTTTATGCAAGAGGGTTCAGCAAACAACTTTTTTAAAATTTTAAATAAATGCTCAAAAATGTAACTTTTATGTGAAATAGTTTTTTTTTTTGTCACTTACCAAAGGGAAAACAATATATTTAAATAGTTGTCTTAGTACTATAGTTTCCATACCTTTAGTTTATAAACGAATCCCTCTTCTCCTGGATTTGTTTGACTTGTTTCTAACTGTGTTTAGGGCACAAGGGGTAGTAGCAGAGTAAAACGAGGCTTTTAGACTAGAGTTTGACTTGTTTGACACTGTGCACTGTCCTAGAATTATTGCAGTGTTAGAAGGACCATACTGCGCAAGCGTAGGATTGGTATTCAGACCATTTCTAATGCCTCTCTGTTGACCAAATAAGTTCTCCACTATGTCTGAATTGAGGTATCCAGGATTAATGCTGTTTTTCCCATTCAACCTTAATTTACACAAGGAAACAAATCCCATTAAGGAGGAGTTTAAGTCACTTCTGGTTTCTTGTGTCATCAGATTCTTTGATGTCACGTGCATCACAGATTTTTCAACTTCATCTTCCCATGAATTGAAGAAGGATAGAGTATTTTTAATAGACTCAAATTTCTGGTCATCCAGAGAAGTAATCGGCTGCCTAGTTGTGCAGAATATGTCAACTATCTTGGATGTATGTTCAAGAAGTTTGATACTTGATGCAAGGTTTTCTGGGTTCTTGAGGGTGGACTGGTAGGATTTCATGAGGAACAGCATGTCCTTATTTAAAACCTGTATAGCAAGTTCGTTTCTCATTTTTGATGCAGGAGTCAGATTGATGTGTTCTTCTGTCAGCTTCCTGTGGATGGAAAAGCCACCCTGAAAGTTAAAATTAAAGCTTTCTTCCCAATGTTCCCAAACAATGCATTTCTTTTCATGGAGTAAATATCTCCCAGCCTTTGTCTTATGTTGCAATTTGCTAGACTCGATGTTGTTTCGTACTTTCTTAAGACAGTGCATGACATCTTGAATGTAGACCATTTTGTGCTGTGGAAAGAATATGTCTGAGAAAATGTAATCAGAACTTCTGGGTGTGTCAGGGTGAGGGAATAACATTCCTGCAAACTTTCGATTTGTGGAGGCTCCATCTGTCATGAAATAATCAACCTGAACATCCCTATCCCCCAACTTATCCACACACTCCCAAAATATGTTATATATTTGATGTGCTGTTCCTGGATTCGATCCAAAAAACACCACTGGCCACCTGTAAAAAGAGTGATCACCCTGTTACTTACTCATGTAATACTGACAATGACTTAATGAAATCTGTTAGAAAGAATATATGTCCATCTTTTCTATATTATATAGTATATCATGACTGCACTAAGTATAGCTCATTTAAGATTTTAAACATAGTGAATTTTGATACACATCAAACACATTTACCTGAATCCAGTTAATCCATGAAAAACAAATTGAAGAACATGTGTGGCTAGTTTCACTTCCTTCTTTCCCTTACAAATGATGTCTATATTATTGTTCGTACGTCCCATATCAACAAATCCAATTAAGTCCCAACCATCACCTGATTTTGTGATAATGAGATCGTCTTGAAGTGTCATTTCATCGATAATGAGACCACCGTGTCTTCCAAACTCTGAAACATTCTGTTTGTCCATTTCTTTGGTCATCCATACCAAATTTTCCTCAATAAATCCTGGAGTCTGTTTAACAGAATTTTTGTAGTAGCGTAGCAGCCGTTTAGAGGGCAATACTAGAAAGTTTGATTTCTTCAGGTCTTCATAAGCCTGTGGGGATCGAATATACAAAGTTAAACAGAGACTTATTAGTTTCGGATCCCACCGTCTCTGACGTTTCTCGAAATCATGACGTGCACAGTTCTGTAATTGGGATTTTAACAGAATCCCAAAATGCTCTGGCAAACCTTCCTGCTTAAGAACTAGATTCACTATGTCTTCCATGTCTTTATCGTCTTGTTTGTTTAGAACAATATGAGCATCAGTTTCCTTGGACGTCAAGTTTGGGTTAAACATACTGTCTGTTCTCCAGTCCTCATTAGATCGCTCATCAAGCGTTCCATTGTTTGAACTCTGAATGTTCTGATTCAATTCTTTCAGTACACTTTTCACCGTAGTGGAATCCTTCTTCTTTTCCTTATCTTCCATGTCAAGAGGACAATGAATTTTCACATTCTCTTTACATTCTGATTTCTCATCGTTACTGCTCTCTGGATGCTTCCTTTTTCTAACTGTTTTCCTGACTCTTGAAATGTTGCAGGAGGAACACACATCCTGTTTAGCGAACCATTCCAGTAAAATGCTGCAGTACTCTGATCGCATAACCGAAACTTGTTCTGCCTCAAAAGTAGCGGAAAATTTCTCCTCTTTAAATGATCTTGGAAAATAATCATCATCTTTTGGAAATCCTTTGCAGACATTTAAAGTTGAAATTAAGTGAATAATTCCATCAATGTTTGACTGAGTCAGGGGAACGGAGAAGCCAGTGGACAATTTCTTTTCTTCTACTTGCATCCAGAAGTTACCTGGTTCAAATCCAACTGTGCAATTTACCTGAACACTATCTCTAAGGTACGGTAACGGACACTTGAAAGCAAAAAATCTGATTGTTTCTTGCACTGTACACATAGGTGGTAACCGTACACAGCTGTTGTCACTTGTAACTGCTCTTGGACTAAGATTCTTGAATAGAATGACTCCTTTGTCTCCTTTTATGTTTTTAGGACATGTTGACTGTACGTTAAAAAGTCTTCTTATAAGTTTGCTTAGTGTTTCAGGACATGGGGCATTTGCTCCGATTGCCTGTACACAGGCATTATGGATGTCTCGAAGGCTTACAAACATCCCATCCGTCTTTGCTTCTAAATTCAAGGCCAGCCTATTAAATTAAAAATGAATCAAAAGTTAACATATGGGCAAGGATAAAGTTTTTAGACAGACAGACAGGGAAATGGATATACAGAGCAAAAACTAAATAACCCAGAATCCTTGATTATAGGGGTATAATAAGCTGACTTGATAAAATTTGACCAATCCCTCTTAGTATCAAATGCCTTCAAAATCAAATGATTGTGCATTTTGCAAACAACTTTTCCCATGGCTTTTTTTTGGGGGTGGGGGGTTGGGTGGGGAGGGGATATGTATGTGAGCACTTTTACCTTAAGACATGTATATTTCATAAATAAAAATCAATTATCAAATGTTGTAGGAGAATTATTAAGGATTTGAAACAGAAGAAAGTCACTGCTGTTACAGCCACCACTGGTATGGCAAGTCTTCAACTTGGTTGTGATGCTACCACACTTCATCATTGGTCTGGGATTTATGATGGTCGGTACTCCCATGCTACTCTCGAGGAACTATTCCAGAATGATGACAATTTTGCAGTGGCAAAAGAAAGGATTGAACGCACAGAATGCTTGATAATAGATGAAATAAGCATGTTGTCAGCAGCTGTTTTTGACATGGTGGAATTTGTCTGTCGCATTGGGAAGAAAAATAACAGTGTTTTTGGAGGGATACAGGTATGTTCAAATGAAAAAAAAAATAATAGTACATAAAAGTTTCTTAACTATTTAATGACCTGATTTAAAATGATTATGTCAGATATGTCATCAAATAGTTATTGGATTAAGTTCATTAACATGCACACAATTAATGTACTGTATTATGTAATGTTTATATGAGAAGTTTACTGGAAATGTCTTTTATCCATGAAAAATTTATTTCATTTTTATTAATTAATCTTATGTTCTTTATTATAGGTCATCGGATGTGGTGATTTCAAACAATTACCACCTGTCCCTAATCGCAGATATCAGGATGACGGACAGTACTGCTTTCAAAGTGTGAACTTCTTTTCAACCTTCCCACATCATATCAATTTGCATGAGGTATGTTTTGAATATATATTGCAACATGTGTGAAGAGTGTAGATTGACTTTTAAAACATTAATTGATGTGTAAATTTATGACAATATTTTCTGAAAAAAACTATCGTAGGTTGTAAGACAAAGTGAGCCTCTATTGATTAAAGCTGTGAACGAGCTGTGTGATGGGGAGCCGTCCGAGGAGACTGTGCAGTTTTTACGAAGTCTTGACAGGTCTATAGATGCCCCCGCACAGGAAGTTACCAAACTGTTTGGCACAAACTTTGATGCAAGCGTGATCAATCAGGACACCTTGGAGGAGATGCCTGGGGCAACATTCCATTACAAAGCAACAGATGAAGGTACATGTTATTGTATTTTATTTATATAAATAATTTTAAAATGGGTCAGTTTATAAAGTCAAGTAATAAATGTATGGCTTATTTAAGAATAACAATGTAAAATTTGCTAATCAACTTTCATTAATTTGGGACATTTCAAAGTTTCCATCAGTTGGTAAGTAAAATAAGACATCAGGTACAAATGCATGCAGTTGGGGACATGCATTCTTCCTAGGACTTACTGTACAGAACATTAAAATCCTATCAATTAAATATATCATGATAGTACAATAATACTGTTATATTATATGCAGATCAGTTAATTTTAAGAAGCAGTTGCAAAAAACATAATCTTTGACATCAATAATATTAAAATGTTTAAATTTGTTTCTTTGATTAATTTCAGGTGAAGTCAGAATGTTGCGGGATTGCACAGCACCAAAACACTTAGTATTGAAAGAGGGTGCCAAAGTTATTCTTATAAAGAATATTGCAGAAGGACTCTTCAATGGTATGAAAGGCATTGTTCACAAACTACACCCTGAAAAACCTCCAATCATCAATTTTAATGGGAAGTTGTTCGAAATACCCAGAGTAAAGTTTGACGTGTTTGATCCACAGCAACGACGGACATTAGCCTCAAGATCCCAGTTTCCTGTCATACTTGCATTTGCATTAACAGTGCACCGTGCGCAGGGGCAAACATTGGATTTGGTAGAAGTAGACTGCTACTCTTTTTTTGCTCCAGGTCAGATGGGGGTTGCAGTTGGCAGAGCAACTAAGATTAGCGGACTAAGAGTGCTGAACTTCAACTCTACAGCGGCTTTTACCAAACACCCTGATGAAGTTTTTCAGTTTTATGAAAGACCTTTTACAGACTTCTCTACGGATTTGCATTGTTGTGAAAAAACAAGCATAACTAAACTATCCTCTCAGAGTATATGTGACGAGCCTTCTACATCAGGGGAACCCTGCTTGTCTGGAACAATATTTGAATCAAGTGAAGCTTTCCCTCAAAAGGAGTCACCCTGGGATATACACAAATTTCTTACAGAAAACCAGAAATCTCCATTCATATTGGAATTCTCAGATGACTTCTTTCACTCTCTGTCATTTGAAAGACATGTGAAATTTCTATATCATCAAGTATGTGACATTTTAAACAAAACCCCGAAATCACCCCAAGATTGGACTGTTGCTTATAGTGAAATGAACACTTTTCTCTTAAGTGATAAACATAGTTCTTCAGTGAAAACAATGTTTCAGAGAAATGAACTTACAAAGGATGAATTCAAGTTGTCTACAAAAATTGTGCTTTGGTTCATGGATAAAGAAATAGAAAAGAAAGCAGAAGATATTATTCAGGACCACATCAAGAAAACAGAAAAGTCGGACAATTCTTCAGAGTTATCTGATGCAGCTCTGGCAAAATTACGGTACCTTGCTGGAGCCTGTGTTCAAAAGGTTGCCAAACGCATAAAAGACTCTGTTTTGAGGAAAGTTGGGAAAAGTTCCAAGAGAAGTAGAATTATAAGAAAATTAGAATATAGAAAGCAAATAATGTTGAAAAACTTTAGGATAAGGGAAGCTGATGTTGATGAAGGGGAGGAGAGCATGAGAGAGATTGAACATAAGCAAGGACCAACCAGGGGACTGACAGTAGTTAGTGAGCCTGTGTTCTCTTTCTTTAAATCACTCCATAAGATTGTGCAAAAGAAATTGACAAAAGAGCATTTCCATCTCTTTCATGAAGATTTACATAATGTCGTCCGTAGAAGTGTGGATTCTGAAATGACTTTAGCAGATGAGTGGATTTCTTTGTTTAATGATGCAGAGGTTTCACATGAAGAAGTAGATGATGAAATTTTTATAACTTTGGTTATGGAACTCTATCGTGATGTTACGGAGCATTTTATCAGGATTTCATTTGTCGATGCTCTTAGAAATTTCAAACGCTCTGTTCCTCGAAAGAAAAAGCAGGCCTTAAGAACAAAAGTTCAAGCCCTGGGTGAGAGGGAAGACCATAAAAAGAAGAAAGTAGATGAGAAAGAAGAGGAAGAAGAAGAAGAAACTTTTTCATGCAATGTTTGCAAATGTAACTGTGAGTGGGAACCAACAGATATAGGGGATGAGAGCATTGCATGCGACAAATGCAATACATGGTTCCACTATAAATGTGTGAATTTGAAGGGAAATGAAGCCTTTCTGAAAAAGAAAAGTACAACATGGTACTGTTCAGGCTGTAGCAAGAAAGGAAAGGGACGCGGGAAACGTTCTTCAAAGAAATAGGTAAACATTAACAATCATAATTATACAAGATTGACACAATATGGTACAGATTCTTAATGCAGCCAAGGTATATGTATGTACAAGAGTTATCTCTCTTTTTCCTTGTCAATATTTGTGTACAAGTAAATTTCATAACATGAAATATTTTAACACAGTAATATATCACTTGTGTATAATTCAGTTGAACGTGTTCTTGTATTATTTTTTACAAGTCCACAAGAAAAAAAGTCTTAGAATTAAAAAAAAAAATTCTTAACTTGAAAAATATAGACAATTTATCCCCCACCCATAACCTTTCTAAATGCATATATATGCACACTTTTATGAGATATATTCACTTTATAAAGGAGTACGTAAACAATGAAAATATTATATAGACTATTGATTAATATCATATGGGCTTTATCCACTATAAAAATGAGTAAGGCCATTCTAATTTTTTTTCTATGTTCAGCATCCACATGGGTCTACTCTAGGTTTTCCACATATCATATGGGACCAAAAAAATCAGTACTGTAGTCCTAAAATTTATTATACTTGTCAAAACCTTCACAGTCTGTCAATCTCTTCAAATATTTTCTTACAGTATGTTTTTTTTAAGCGTACGAAACATTCATTTGATTGAATGCTAAAGTATTACATATATATCTTTCTATGTATTCCTTTAAATGATGTCATTTTATAACTTATATATGAAGGCTGTGTTTTATATTTTTGGGTTTTGTGTTTTTTGTAAATAAGTTTGTAGGTTTTGAAAGATGGATTACTTAACAGAGAAAAAAAAATGAGTAGCCTGAACATGTGAAAAATCTATTACATCATTATTAAGTTGATAAACTTTCATGAGATAAATATTATTTCCTAAATAAATTGCCTGTAAAATCTTCATATTAATTAATTATTGAACAAATCTCCAATTTGGCACATAACAACACTTTTGTACAGCTATCTTAAAAATATTTTAATTTCTGTCTACTTCACTAAATTTAAAATTTAGTTCAACATGAATATTTTGACTTAAGCTTCAGATGTTTCATGAATCTGTGGCCAGTTTATGTATTAGCAAGGTGTCCGTCGTCTGTCCAGCTGACTGTCTGTAATTTTTTTTTTTCAAAATGCTAGTCCTCTTATGGTTTGGTCTGATTTCATTATAACTTAGCATACAAGTACACCAAAAAACTTAATTAAGTGCCTTTTTTTAATTTTGATTATTGGTGTTGTTATGGTTACTAAAAATAGAAATCTCTGTGAAATTTCTTCCAAATGCTACTGCTTGTACAATTTTGGTCCACTTTCAATATAATTTGATACACACATAGAATAACCAAAGATACATAATTCCATTTATTTCTGCCTATTGAAAAGTTAAATCCAAGTGCTACTTTTCCTTTATACACTGACAAACCAGTAGAGCTACAGTCTCATCAGAGAAACTGCTGGTTTTATTAAGCTACATTATGATGTGCAGTGTATATTCATTTTATCTCAGTCAGATTGGTAAAGACCCAAAGTAAAAAAAAAAAGTGGTGTTCTTGCTAAAATTACCTTCCAAAATTTTATTTTATTTTTATTCTGCATATAGATCTATGTGATATTTTTTAAACTGTTACATTGCACTTAACACCACAGGGGCTTGTCACGAAATATTTATCTTCTTTTAAAAAAGTTACCCCTACTATATTTTTATATACTAGGGGTAACTTTTTTAAATGAAGATAAATATTTCGTGACAAGCCCCTGTGTTAACACCACTTTTTTTTCATTTTAAGGCAATACCAATATTTTGGTTCCTTTTAAATGTGTTTTCAGCATTATTGATTGATTTTAAAAAATCCACTTACCAAACAGAAGCTCCAAAGTTGTTGGACATCTTTGGTTGTCTTTAATCAGGTAGTAGAAACGATTTTCAATATCTGTTTTTAAATTTCCCGCAAACGAAAGTAGACGATTATCTCCCTTTCTTTTTGAAACAACATATTCCATTTTTAATATAGGATAGAGTTGGTTAATATTTTTGGGTTTTTTAAACATTAAAAAATAAAGAAAAACACAACTCATTGGTAAATATTTTTTAAATAGCATATTTATTATATTCGATGAATTATTATTTGCTGCGGTGAATGTGACGTCACGCAGATTGTCAATGGCCGCTGGTTGTAAACGAGATGTGAAGAAGTGTTGTTATAATGATAATGTAGGGTAGTTGAATGGTAAAAAATGTCAGGGATTACTAACTGGACATTCCGAAGTTGATATGTGAAGTTTGATGTTGGCTGGACGGCGATTTAGAGAAAATCGAGAAAACTCGTTGCCATCCTGTCGCTTCGCTCGCTACGCTCGCGAAGCTCACTGGTTGTATTTATGCCTGTTAACCATTTATTTACTATTTATTGATAAAATTGCCGACTCCTGTACTTTATACATAAACACAAAATGCCAAATCAAAACATGGAATTCACCATAATCTTGAAGACAAATCAGCAGAGCATTGTATACAGTGTGATAAGGTAAGTAAGTTAAAATGTACATGAATGATAATAATTCAATTAATATTCATTAACTGCCATTTTAAGAATGAGTTTATCTTTCAAAACAATGGATACACAAAATATTAGCAGCCTCTCAAATTCATTATAGATACTTACACATAAAAATATAGTGTTCTGATAATGCTAATAATTTAGACATAAGTATAACAAGTAATGTATAATCTTTCTTAATTTCATTCACAGGATTACAGAAAAAGAAATGGACACTAAGGTCTCAGCAAGCAAAAATATCAAAGGTAAATAATATTACAGAAATGAATCTCATTATCATCAGACTTAATGCTTGAAATATCAAATAAAAAAAATTACACATAAAGTCCACTAATCAATCTCATTCCCAACCTTATCTCCAAATTTACAACAAATATTGACAATGCATGAAATGAATACTTTCTTAACTTACTTATACTTATTACTCAAAATTACCAATTTAATTTTGTCCTAGAATCACATCCTGTGCTGTCTCCTGCTGCGGAACGGAACGTCTGGTTGCTGGAGAGTATTTGACCACTTCCTCTTTTGTAGGTTTACTTCCTGCCAGTTTCCACTTAAGCACTGGACCAATACCATTATCTTCCATCTGGAGACATTGTAGACTTGATGAGTTGTACTTTGACATCCATTGTGTCCCTTCAGGTAAATTTTTAGAACTGTCACGCTTTCTTGTTGTCACACGAATAGCACCCTCCTGATTAAGGTTTTCCTAAGTTTCCATAGTCTCAGCTCTCTTTCTGCACTTAATACAAGGTCCGCATTTCAGGCTTTCTAAACTGTCACCCTCTTCGCAGCTACAGTCGGCTGGGTTCGGACATCTTGATAGACCGTCGGCATTACCATGCTGTGTACCAGGCCTATACTCAATTTCAAAATTGTAGGCTGACAATATTTCAATCCAGCGAGCCACTCTTCCTTTAGGTTCTTTCAGTTTATATAGCCAGACTAATGCTTGGTGATCAGTCCTAAGGATAAATCTTTGTCCCAAAAGATATTGTTTGAAGTATTCCACGAAATAACGAACAGCTAGGAGCTCTTTATCAGTTACACAATAGTTCCTTTCAGCACGGTTTAGGGTTCGACTCCCATAGGCTAACACTTTCTCACGTCCATCCTGTACTTGGCTCAATACAGCACCAATGCCTACATCACAGGCATCTGTGTCAAGAATAAAATGGCCTTGGTTTGGGTCAGGATATCCCATTATATCGGGCCCAGTAAGGATCTTCTTTAGTTGCAGAAATGCTTTCTCGCATAAGTCTGTCCAGCGGAAAGAATGGTTCTTTTGTGTAAGTTCAGTAAGAGGTTTAGCTATCACCGAAAACCCTTTTATAAATCTCCTGTAGTAAGAGGCAGTTCCAAGGAATTGTCGTACTTCAGTAACATTATTTGGTCTGGTCCAATTCAAAATTTTCTCTACATTCTGCTTATCTGGTAAGACTCCATCTTTAGTGACTTTATGTCCAAGGAAAATAACTTCATCTTGAAAAAGGCTACATTTCTCAGGTTTCAATTTTAAACCTGCATCAGTTATTCTCTGAACCACCTGGCTAAGTCTGGACATGTGTTCATCGAAATTTCTGCTAAATATCACTACATCGTCCAAATAAATAAGACAAATGTCCCACTGGAGGCCATTTAATGCCATCTCCATAAGTCTCTGGAATGTACCTGGTGCATTAGTCAATCCAAAAGGCATGGTTTTATACTCGAAATGACCATATTTTGTAACAAATGCTGTTTTTGGTATATCTTCAGCCTTGACTCTGACTTGGTGATACCCAGCTGTCAAATCCAGAGTGGAAAACATTGAAGCTCCTGCAACGGAATCTAGACAGTCTTGAATTCGTGGGAGTGGGAATGCATCCTTAACTGTTAAATTATTTACAGCTCGATAATCCACACAGACTCTTATTTTTCCATTCTTCTTTCTAGCTAAGACTAGTGGAGAGGACCAAGGTGATGTAGAAGGTTGTATTATGCCCCTCTCTCGAAGGTTCAGAATGGCATCTCTCTCCTCATTGGCTAGTGCTATTGGAACTCTACGAGGTGGCTGTTTTACAGGTTTACTCTCACCAGTATTAATCTCATGTTCAACTAAATTGGTTTGTCCTAGGTCCCATTCATCTTTTGAAAATGCATCCTGATGGTCGAGCAAGAATTTCCGAAAAGCTTCTTTTTCTGACTTATTTAAGGACTGGGAAGAGCCTTCATAAAGCTCACGCAAATGATCTGGAACCTCACATGCCTCACCAGGCGAAAGTTCAGTAGATCGGCAAAGGCTTCTTAGGTCACTAAAAACCGGTCGAATTACATCTACTATTCCCCATATCCTTCAACAGTACCCACAACTGTGTCTGGATAAAGTGTTTTTCCCTCATCAAAAGGATTCATAACTCTCAGGGGTACACACAGTTTCCCTCTGATGTTAAGAACTGCTGGGGCTAACAGTAAGGAGGTCTTCTCCATAAGATCTCCACTTGGCACAAACATAAGGTCCTCCTCAATATCAACCTCACATTCACGCTGTATAAAAGCCGGTATTATTACTTCTGTATTCCCAGGTATATCACATCTCTCCACACAACGGAGGGTAATATCTTTATGCACACCACGTTGTATGCATGGAATATCATGACCTTTGAACCTTATCAGTCCTTTACTCAGGAGAATATCTGCTTGACCAATATCACTATTCTGCAGGATGTCCACTCCAAGTAACACTTCATCTTGGATATCAGCTACTAAAAGGTTTTTCTTGAGGGTCAAGGAACCAAGTTGCAAATCAAACGCTCCTTTCCCATAAACATGAATGGTACTTCCGTCAGCTCCTCGTAAGTGCGACTTTCCTTGAAGTCTGGGTCTGTTCACCTCTTTGAGTTGTTCATACACTTTGTATGAAAGTATAGTATTGGATGCACCAGTATCTGTTGTAATGTGGACATCTAAACCATTTACGTTTCCCTCTATGTACACACCATCTGCATCTGGTATTCGATTAGAAATAAAACAAAAATCTTCTGATTCATCAAAATTATCTGGTTGTCGGTCTGTTGGTGGGTCTAAACTGTTCGTCTGTCTGTCAGTTTCTTCTGTAGCCGGTCCTTAACCCACAGGAACGGCTAATGCCTGTTTAAAGGTGCCTTTGAGACTTGCAGGTCATTAATTCTCTTTGGGCAGTCCCTTATGAAATGACCTTCACCTTTGCAGTAAAAACAGCTACGTTTCTGTGGTCTGTCCAGAGGAGCTGTTTGACCTGTAGACATGTCTGGTTGAGATGTACCAATGACGGGCCTACTTGGCTGTGTCCCAGTGTTGCTCTGATTAGTCAGGTTGTTGAGAACTTTTGCCATCTCATCGATTTGTTTCTGCAAGGCTTCGATAGTGCCACCTGACCCTTGTTTGTTTCCTTGGCTGTACTTCGTATTTCTGACACTTTTCTTTTTCACCGACTTGGCCTTAATGACTGTCTTAGGCGTGGCTTCTGATTCAGAATCACTGTACAGCGACTTCACCTCTCTGACATGTTTCTTAGTTGAAGGCCGACCTGCTTCTTCATAATTTATAACCTGTCGTACAGCTTCATGTATATCGGAGGGGTCCTTGACATATTCCACATGAAACTGGGCTTCTCTATCAGCCAGACCATCTAAAAATTTCCTGAGCAAGTCTTCCTCTCTAGTCTTTGAGTCTCGCTCCGGGTGGGCTTTGACATACAGGCGCTTTAGATCAGCCGCAAAGTCCTCGACTCGCTCACCAGGCTTCTGAACTCTATTATTAAATTTTGCCAAATATGTTCGACTGGTTTCGATTGCACGGAAACGATTGGTCAGTTCCTTCGTAAGTCTCTTATAACTGCTTCTCGACTCTTTCGATAATTGGCCATACACAAAGTCAGCTGCATCTTCATGTAGTCTGGGCAGTAATTGGTCCAGTTTGTCATCTGTTGTCCAGTGGTATCTGTCTGCAACTTCCTCAAAACGACAAAACCAGACAGACCAGTCTTCTTTCCCTGTGTATGGAGGAATCTTTACATTGTGATGCTTGGCCTTTTTCCGGTACACAAAGTCAGACTCTTGCGATGTTTCTCTGTCGCTACTCAAACACTCATGAGATGCACTACATGTATCTGATTGTCTGTTGTCAGGGTTGGTCCTTTGGTGGTCTTGCTCAGAGAGCTGTTTAATTTTCTCTTGTAAATGCTCTACCATCTCCGTGAGCTGGATAAGTGCAGTTTGCTCGTTACTCGTACTGGATAAGTCTCTTGCACTTCTCATGGGAGCAGAGAGGGTCTGATTCTGCATCACAGGTACAGAACCTGTACACAAACTCACAGGCACAGAACCTGTACCTAGACCAACAGGCACAGAACCTGTACATGTACATAAGCTTACAGGTACATTACCTGTACAAGAACTTACAGGCACAGAACCTGTACACAAACTTAGAGGTAAATGAGTTCTCATGCAAACGCGGTGAGCTGATGTTGTAATTGTGGGGAATGTGGTAAACATATGGGTGCTCTGGTTTTGATGACCATAAACAGGACCTTGAAAACTCGCAGTACAAGGAACTGCATGAGAGTTTACAGGTAAGGTAGTGTGATAATTTGAACCTGTACATGAACTCGAAGAAGTGCTGAGTGCATGAGAGTTCACAGGTAACCCAGATACTGGACTTGCTGTCTGTGTAAGGGAGGGGCTCATGAGAGTACCGGTACTGGAGACTGCAGGTATATACATACTAGGGACAGCTGTCGGCTCTCTAGGAAAACATGTACATAAATTCTCAGCAAAATGTGAGCAAACAGGTACAAAAGGCATCTGAGTTGTGGGACCACAGGTGTGAAGATGGCTCATTTTAGGCCTAACTACACTGTGTGCTGTCTGTGGCTGCTCTGTAGTAGAACTCACAGTTACAGAAACTGTATCTGAGTTTCCAGTAAAAAGTGTAGATTCTCCGTCTCTCACAACGTCTGCCTGAGAACTCACAAGCATTAAACTTGTATCTGAGTCATGTAAATTTGCTAACTGGGAGGCTTCTTTATTTGAATGAACAAATGGCTTAGTTCTGTGCATGTCAGCTCCTTCACACGGAAATTCACATTCGCTTTCATTTTCTCTTGCAGTTTCTACGGAGGAGCACGAAATCCGTGAGGTAGATCTAGATTCTTGAAGACCACGACGCCTCCGTCGACTTTTACGACCTGCCATTGTGATTTATTTTTATTTGATGTTTGCTTAATAAAATTTTTGTTTCTCAAACACAGACAAAGCGTTGTTATGATTCGATCACAGGACCCGTAAACTTAAACGGATCATTCGATCACAGGACCCGTAAACTTAAACGGATCCCGCCGTGGATGCCAAAATTGTAACGCTTCGGAACGCCTGCCTTGTGTTGAGAACAAAAACTTCGATGTAAAGTTTTATAATTTTATTCAGTAATTCATAAACAGCGAAAATAAATAACAGTTTGAAATTCACAAGTCTCAACCCTCGGGACAAAAGACAAAATCAGTACCACTAGTCAACTACTGATATAACTGGGCAATTGGCACTATTTCCAGTAATTTATGATTTAAATAGAAATTCCCCCGACCAAAATAAAACGTAAAGGCTCTCTATAAATGACTTATAATTAATTTACAAATAAATATTCCCGCTACTAGTTCAACTACTAGCACGCAGCAGAAATATTTCCTAACTCCTAAACTGGGCTAAAGAAGATAAAAATAACTAGTTCACAACTAGTAATTATAAATAAAACTAGTACAATTACTAGTAATATGAATTTAGCCTAACCTAACATTACGTATTATGTACTTCAGTCACTTAGATACTGAAATAGTACACACCTTAAATTACTCTGGACAAAACTGGCAACCTTTCTCTAGGTCACAAAGAAAACGAGAGAGCAAACGATATTCAGCATCCGAGTATTTATAGAATTAACAAAACCCGCAATAATTCATAACCAATCATAACTAATAATTCCATCCCGTAAATAATAATCAGCCAATCAAATGTAATCATCCCGTAATGAAATCTCACTCTCGCACATCGTATGTAAAATTATTACAATACGTAAATAAATTAAATAAATTCATAAAACATAAAGTTACACTTTTAAAAGCTCATTTAACACTGTTTAACATTTAATTTAAAAGAATTTACAATCAAATCTTCCGCCGAAATAACTCCAGTAAAAATAGATCACCGTGAAGCATCACGGGAAAATACACAAGTAAACAAAGTATGGCGGCGGCAGAAGTTTCAGTGAAACGTGTGTACTCGAAGACCATAAAACATCGATCACACAAGAAATAAGGTAACTTTAAGATAATCCTGAATTACAGCGCAACTTTATAATTACGTATGTACAATTAAGCCAACAAAAAGCGTGTAATTAAATAACAAGACGAAGTCTGACATTCAACACATCGAAACACAAGAAAAATGGCATAGATCTTCCCTACATTTAAGCAGTTGTCAACCAACATTTAAGACATTACTCTCGCTGGACATTTCAACATTCCATGCAAGAATTGATGAATGAATTGAAAGTATGCATGCTTTAGAAAAATGCCAAGATAAAAAAATGAGATTCAAGAAAAATGGGGGAGGGATCGTTACACTCCCGTTTATCTTGGATGCTTTGTACCAAGTTTTGTAAAAATTGGCCCAGTGGTTCTTGAGTAGAAGATTTTCAAAGATTTTCCCTATATATTCCTATGTAAAACTTTGATTCCCCATTGTGGCCCCGCCCTACCCCCGGGGGTCATGTTTCGAACAATTTAGAATCTACACTACCTCAGGATGCTTTCACATAAGTTTCAGCTTTTCTGGCCCAGTGGTTCTTGAGTAGAAGATTTTCAAAGATTTTTCCCATATATTTCTATGTAAAACTTTGATTCCCCATTGTGGCCCCGCCCTATCCCTGGGGGTCATGATTTGAACAATTTAGAATCTACACTACCTCAGGATGCTTCCACATAAGTTGAAGATATTGATGGTAATTAAATACTTAAAGAATATGTGGTTGGGACTCCCACATCACTTCGATATATCCATGGTATTCGAGATATCAAAGTTCGAGGTACTAAAATTCAACTGCATAACAAGAGACCCATGGGCCACATCGCTCAACTGAGTAACATTCGTGATGCCATTCTTCATTGTGTCCTTGTCCCCCCCCCCCCAGTCACAATTTCAGCAATTTAGAATCTACACTACCACAGGATGCTTCCACATATGTATCAGTTTTCTGGCCCAGTGGTTCTTCAGAAGAAGAATTTTTCCTATATATTTCTATGTAAGACTTTAATTCCCTGTTGAGGCCACGCCCAAACCCCGGGGTCATGATTTGAACAATTAAGAATCTACACTACCCAAGCATGCTTCCACATATATAAGTTATATGTATGCATCTGCATATATAAGTTTAAGCTTTTCTGGCCTAGTGGTTCTTGAGAGGATTTTTTAATGATCCCACACTTATTTTGTCTTTTCTCGATCTCGATTATCTCCCCTTGTGAGGGGTCTTGGCCCTTCATTTTAACAATTCATACTCCCGTTTATCTTGGATGCTTTGTACCAAGTTTTGTAAAAATTGGCCCAGTGGTTCTTGAGAAGTCAAAAATATGAAAAGTTAACAGACGGACGGACGACGGACAAAATGTGATCAGTAAAGCTCACTTGAGCCTTCGGCTCAGGTGAGCTAAAAATAGTTTGATAGTTCACCTCTTTGAATAAATTTCTTTCCTAATTCCAGGAGGATGGGTTGACACAAATTCATGAATATAATTGATGCACTTTATTTAATTTGATGCAGTTATATTGTTAACATTTCCAGTTCATTACGAGAGTGGGGATGATGGTAACTTCCATCTTCACAATGTCAAGGGTTTGTGATTTCGAAACACCACAAAATCACAAACCTTTGACATTGTGAGGATGGGTCACCTCGAGAGTTAATACAATCAAGTTGAACCGTGAAGCACTTTATAAAAAAGCGCAATCGCCCGAAGTTATGTTATATCGTATAAAATGAGCTTCATTCCTTATAATTTTAATTTCAGAAAAGACAATATAAGACACTATATCCTAGGGAAAAAAAAGCTTTTTACATTGAGTATATTTTAAAATTGTCAAGGGGATTAATACGTTTTCGACGTAACTCATAGTGACATAGGCAGCGTATGTCATACAATATGAAATATAAATCTTTGATCCAATCAAATGACGTGTTACAACTAAAATTTAATTACAGTCAAATAAAAAAGTTTATTACAATTTTGAAGTCACTTTCATAAAAAAAAGAATTTAATGTTTGCTTTCCATAGTCAGGTTAACCTCTTTCACTGGAACTCGTAAAGAGGTATCGGGATGACTATTTTTCACTATTCCTTTTGAACTCGCTGGCTTAGTGGATTTCAATTACACGAATGAGTTAATCGCGCTATCTCTTTTATTAAATAAAAGTCCTTGACATTTTATTTCCATATATCTTAATGACCAAACATAAAAACATGGTTGGGGAGTTTGTGTGTTACCCAACCTGTATGAAATGCAACCAAGACAGTCAAGATTCAGCTTTCCACTCTTTATTAAATTAAACAATCTAGTTGTAATCTTTATGATTACAATAAATCATTTCACACAATATACTAAACATTATACTAAACATTATTAGTTCTAATATAAAAAAAAAATGTTATCTGTAAATAAATTAAGCCATGTGAAAATTTTAATAATTTGACAAAAACCGCGCAAGTCTAGAAAATTATCTCACCTGTATTTTGAAAATGCAACCAAGACAGTCAAGATTCAGTTTTCCACTGAAATCCTGTCTATCCCGGCCGTTCATTTCATACTAGGTTTACGTTTGTAGATTTACATCTCCATATTTGTAACCCCTTCGAAATTTGCAATAATTACTATAAATTTCGATTTGAATTTTAATTACTATTATTCTGACCTTGAGTGCTTTTTAAACTTCTAATGCATTTTAAAAATAATTTCCAATCTTTTGCATAATCTTTAAATATTGTTTTCCGTAGTTAATTTATCCTAACACCTGAACTCTGGTCACTTGGCAATTCATTGGTTGCTTCTTCCTTTAACCAAATACATCTTCCGATAAACAAGCAAAGAGCTGAACCGCTGTTTTAATGAATGGTATTATTCAGGTTTAAAGGTCACCCTATTGTGGCCAGAAAACCCGCTCTTTTTTGACTTTAACTCATAGCGTTATCTCTCTCCGTCATACAATATAAAGTGCAAATACAAAAAACGTGTTACAATCTTATTTTAGTGCAATTTTTTTAATGATATCACAGTCATGATCATTTGTCATCACACGGACGGGCCGGGGAGAGGCAAAGGGCATTGAATCCCAATCCCCCTCTGGAATTTGAATTTACAGAGTTAAATTATTAAAATAGGACTATATAACACAATACTGAAGCAAATAAAAAATACTTTGGAAAACATGGACATCACCATCATGTTTTTATTTTGTTTCTTTGTTTTGTTTTTTGCTTCTCCGGAAATTTTGGGCTAGATTTTTTTTAAAAATGAGCCCCCCCCCTTTTTTTTTGGTAAAAATATCTTGATAGATCTTAGCTGCAGAATTGCAGCTCTCCAAAAAAACCGGAGAGCTACACTGCCACCAATTGAAAAAAAAGTTTATTTATTGCGCACAAAAAGTGCGCTGTTTCTCGATTTTTAAACTGTTATCACAAAATATTACTATAATCATGTGTTCCTTATGCCTAGGTCACATTTAAGCCGATGGTCGGGCGACTAAATTTTTCTGGTCTTGTCAGCTGGAAGAACATGATCGGCCGATACAGTATCGGGCGACACGGAGCAGTCACATTCATTCCTAGGGACACCGATGACTTGGACAAATAACACAAAAAATCTTTTTTCTTTAGAATTCAGCAATATTTTTTCATAGATCTATATTCAGATAGTGACGTGAGTAATGTTTGCAAGGCAAAGTTGAAAATGTGTGCAAAATTTTGTGTGGAATTGCATAAAAATGACAAATGGTGCATATCTAAGCAGCAAATAATACTTTAGATTTCTTTATATCTTACGGATTAATTATTCATGTTATTTCCGTTCAAAAAATTTATGTCAATCCATGCATCAAAATTTTGCTTGTGTTATATATCCTTACTAGGTTAAATATTCACAAGTCGGCCAATCGTCGTCCAATCATCGAGCTCTGAGCTACAGTTTGATTTTAAGCGTCG